AAGTTAAGCTTTTTAGAAAATATTTCATTTTAGCTGCCATTTCTGGAAACTTGGGAAAATTCCACTGCAGAAATTATGCGGTGCTGGTTGGCCATAAAAACTGCAATGTAATTACAAAACTCTAATAATCCATAGTTGTAAAATGAAGAGAAACACAATAAAAACCCGGAATCAAATGGAAGCGGGAGAGAGAGAGAGGGAGGTAGCACCAACAGGACACAAGCATACAAATTTTCTTCCATTCAAGGATAATTTCTAACATCATCATCACGGCCATATGCCGTAGATCATAAATAAACCGTTAAAAAAGAAAAGCGCAGAGAGGGAGAGAGAGAGAGAGAGAGCGGCCACATTAAATTGTTGCCAAGTTTATCCTGCAACCATGAAATGGCAAATGCTAAACTATGCAGCGCTTCATCCGTTTCCCCGGCAAAGTAACATAAATTAAAATGTTGTAGTTGATGGTGTTGCCAACAAGTGTCTGCTTCCGAAATGTAATCATAAAAAATGAAGAAAATTCAAAGTCATATTAATGCAGAGCAAAAAAAAAAGGGGAACGAAGAGTAAGGTATCGGTGGAGCGATGGAGGAAAGGAAGCCCATGATGCCATCATCATCAGCAGCCAAGGAAACAATTACGAACATAACTTGTAACACAAGTTTGTTCCTTCATTCGTTCGTTGTCAGGCAGGCAGTCCGTCAGTCAGCCATTGTATCCGCTGATGAAACCAAACAGCCAACCAACCCAGCAACAATAGCCTAAGGCAGAAGCGCAAGCAAAAAAAAAAACGATAAACAGCAACATACGGATGCATGAATTAGAAATGAAATAAAAGGATATAGTGTGGGCGAGGAGCAACAGCAGCAGCAAAATAAAAAAAGCCGAAGCTAATAGCTACAAGTATGGAAATAAAATAAACACACAGAAATATATAAAAAAATATGCTGGGTTTTAAGAATTTAAAAATTGCCTCCCCGTTTTTTTTTTTTTTTTTTGTTTATCTCTTCAAAGGAAGATGTGAAGGATTAAAATAAAAAAAGAAATGAAAGAAATCAAGAAAAGAAATATGGTAACCATAACAAATAATAATAGCGGCATAAACAAGATAAGTTAGCAATTAAGAAGGATTATTCGAAGGAGAACAAACGCAAAAGGCAAAGCGTGTTGATAAAGAGATAAACATGGGTTTCATTTAAATTTTTTAAAAGGACCAACAGAGATGTGATTTTTCCATAAAATATTTCTTTTAAGAAAGTACTTCCTACAATCCTACATTGAAAGGACCACCACAATTAAAAAAATTGAATTAACCAGAGATAAAATTGAATTAGTAGCTTCGACAGGAAATATGGAACTATTGCCGTCTCCCTAGATATCGCCAGGGCTTTTGGCTCTGCCTGGCACCATGGAATTTTATATAAATTGCAATCGTTTGGCTTTGACACTCAGTACGGTAGAATAATCGCTAGTTTTCTCAGACATTGATTCTTCAGGATACAAGAAAGAGCAACTCTATAGCCGCCACCCGGTGTGGGCAGAGGCTTATCAAGGTTCCATAATTGATCCGATGTTATATAACATATTTTCCTGCGACATACGGGCTCATTTGGTCCCTCCAAAACCCATGCCTTAATGACCTTTAGTAACTTTGTTTGCAAAGGCTTCGACAGGATGTACAGAACTATTGCCGTCTCCCCAGATATTGCCGGGGCTTCTGACTCTGTCTGGCACAATGGAATTTTATATAAATTTGCAATCGTTTGGCTTTAACAATCAATCCCGTAGTATGGTCGCTAGTTTTCGATTCTTCAGGATAAAAGTGACAGAGCGTCTCTCTAGTCGCCACCTGCTGTTGGCAGAGGTTTCTCGAGTTTCCCTCATCTCGTCCATCCAAGACTCAAACCCTAATGGCTTTTTGCAGCTTTGATGGCAAAGGCTTCGACAGGATGTACAGAACTATAGCCTTCATTTTTTACGTCTGATTTCCCAACGACCCATGCCTTAACGGCTTTTAGTAGCTTCGTTGACAAAGGCTTTGAAGAACTTAAACCGCCTCCCTAGATATCGCCAGGTCGTTTGACTCCATCTTTCACGATGGAATTTCATGTGAGTTCCAATCGTTTGGCTTTGACAGTCAATGCTGTAGAATGGTCGCTAGTTTGCTTAGGGATCCATTCTTCAGGATTAAAGTGGGTGAGCGGCTCTTTAGCTGCCGCCTGGTGTTGGTATGGGTTCCGCAAGTTTGCCCCCTTGGTCATATGTTATTTTCTTGTGACATCCCAGCTCAGGCGGTTTCCTCCTGTCTTATGTCGATGATGTCCTATTAGTATTTTCTTGTTTGGGTGAATAGGCGCGCTAACGAGTACCTCGATGCCCTGCATTTATGCTTCGTTAGATGTCGCCTAAGGCTGTATGTGGAGTAATTTTTTGCTACGTCCTGTCTAGGGCCAAAGGTCTGTATTTCGGTTACAGAGAATATTTGAGGCTGAGCGTGGTCTTTCCTACGATGTTAAACTCTTGATGTACAGGCAGATTATCAAATGGCGCCTAAAGTTTAAGTTGCTTGATCGGTCGGGAACAGTGTTCCTCAATTTTAGAAGGTTTCAGCCGGTTCTGAATAAAGGATTGGAGCAGATTCATGTCTCATGAGATACTTAAGGGTAATATTTCAGGAGAGGCTCAATCGCATTCGTCATATAGACTACGTACGATACAGTCGAATCTTGAGGATGATGGGTGGTCTTTCCTACGATGTCAAAGTCTTGATCTGCCGGCAGATGATCAAATGGCGCCTAAATATGATTTTAGGGAAATGTGCTATGGCTTTGCTTGGCCGGTAGGGAATAGTGTTCCCCAATTTTTGGAGGTTATTGCCGGTTCTGAAGATAGGTTCGGAGCAAGTTCCTGTCTCGGCTATGGCCTTGCTTGGTCGTTTGGGAATATGATTCCACAATTTTAGCCACAATTGTAGCCGGTTCTGAAGATAGACTCGGAGATGCTTAGGTTTAGTATTTTAGGAGAGGTTCGATGATCAGATGACTCGGAACAAGTTCCTGTCTCGGCTAAAATGAGATATATAGGGGGATATAGACTAGGACCTTAGGGCCTCCTTTGATGTTAAACTCCTGACTGGCATATGATCAGATGGCGTCTAAAGTTGAATATAGGGAAATGTGGCTTGGTCGGTAGGGAATAGTTTCTCAATTGTTAGAAGATTTCAGGCGGTTCTGAAGATAGACTCGGAGCAGGTTCCTGTCTCCGGATAAAATCAGATACTTAGGGGTTATATTTCAGGAGAAGTTCGATAGTATTCATCATATAGACTACGTCCTGCGGCCGTAAGTCTGCATTTGGGATATTGTTTAATATTAAGGATGGGGAAGGTCTTTCTCACGATGCTAAACTCTTGATCTTCCAGATGATCAGATCTAGGCAGTTGATCAGATGGCAACTAAAGTTGAATATAGGGAAATGTTATGCTACGGCCTTGTTTGGCGATCGGAAAGGGTGTTCCTCTGTTTTATGAGGTTATAGCCGGGTATAAAGATAGGATTCAGATATACTACGTCCTGCTGCCAAAAGTCTGTATTTCGGATATTGTCAAATGTTGAGGACAATCTTTGGCTCCTGATCTACCGACAGATTCTTAATATACCAAAGCTGACTATAGGTATATATAGCTTCCCCGTCTGTTTTGACATTTCGTATCACCAGATGGAAAGGCTTAGCTTTTGGGAAAGAAAAATACTTTCCAAAGGGCAGATGGCTCTTACAGATCCCATTCTTTTAGGTCGATTTACGATAGGGCGCAAATATATAGGATAGACGTCTTAATGACAAAGATTGGACTGGTATTTTAAGACTGATGCCAGTTCATAGATAATAGCATCGTTGAGGTTACAATAAGATGCTTTAAGTCTTTTCCAGGCTAAGCGAGCTGGGCCTACTTCCGGTGATAAGGGTCTTCTATTTTTCATAGGAAATTTTTAGCCACGGATTGGAATAGCCTGGTGTACAATACCGACCTGCTCACTTAAGTTGGTTTAAGTAGTTTAAAGTGTATTGTAAATATTTCGATTAATTTTATTATTTGGTTTTGAAAATTTTCAAATTTTAATAATTCTAGCCATAATAATTATATTTTGTGTCTAGAGTACAGACAGCTATATTGTGTAAATGTGGATTGTTACGGATCCACAGAGTTGTGGATTTAAAAAATATATAACATAGATTCCAATATATTTTATACAAATACGAAAGATATAAAGTTAAAAATAACCACACCAAAATGTTTATTTAAAACAATAATAATTATTGAGCTATAAAAAATTTAAACAGACATATTTTAAAAAAAAAAAAATTTGGAAATAATTTCAAATTTTCTATTTTTTGTTTAAATAAATATTTCCTATACAAAATATTTTCAAAAACTTCTTGGCACCAAAAAAATAAAAGAAAACTATCCAACAACAAGTATCTGAAAATTTGTAATCGTTTGGCAAAAAATTCCTCTAAATTTTTTAAAATTTTCATTTAGATTTTAAAATTTGCATTGTAAAGATAAATACAAAATCTCTAAAAAGAATTTTAATATAAAACACAGTACTTGACAGAAAACATTGAGAAATTTAATTGTAAGTTTAGATTTTTAAAATTTCTATTTATTTTTTACATTAAATACTTCCTAACCAAAATCCAATTTAAAAAAATTATTGGCAAAAAATAAATAAATAAAAATTTTCTTTACCACAAAAAAAATCAATTAATTTTTAAATTTACAAAATTTACATTTAGATTTTCAAACTTGAATTAAAAAAAACTATACTCTTTAATAAAAATTTAAAAACTTTTATAATTTTTTTTTAACTTAAATTTACATTTAGATTTTAAAAATTAAAAAAAAAATCATTTCAATACTATTTACACAACTTTTTTTTATTTTCCAAAATATATCGAAAAAAAATCAAAATTTAAGAAAAAAATCTTCTTCTTCTACTCACATAACCAGTTCATGCGCTCCGTGTACTCGACTTTACGCTTCAGATCCTTGACCAAAGCCTTAAAGTCTTCGTCATTGAAGTGGCACTGTATTATCGTGTTGTTCAGCTGGACAATGCTGTACTCGTTGTTGCCATTCAGTTGACCACCGCCAATGCTACTGCCGCCGCAACCACCACCGAGACCACCACCACCTCCACCCATCGATGTGCCAGTGCCGGCTGTGGTCATTGAGCCATTGCCACCAACCGATGACACCCCAGTTGTGTTGCTCCTCAAATCCCCGCTGCCATAGAGGGCCGGATTACTGTTGCCGAGGGTGGCATCAACATTGCCACAGGATTTGCTCAGTATCAGGGTCTGGCGATTGGCTATAGAATTGGCCGCCAGCAGATGATCTCCGGCCCCGCCGCAGCTGCCACGATGCAGGGGGAATTTGGTACAGTTGTTGTTTTTAAGCGTTATTTGCAGCTGATTACTCAACGGCTGGGCCGGATGGGGGGTACAGTCACTGGCCCGGCGTCTACGTAGATTTTCCTCTCCTCCCGCAATGGGTTGCAGGAATATTGAACTGTTACGTTGCTGCTGCTGACTAGAACTTGTGATGTTTGCATTGTAAATGTGATTGCCTTTGGTGAGTCTTTCCACGCTGCCTGCATCGGTGTTGGCGGTACTACCTCCAACTCCCCCACCACCGCCCCCCTCATCCTCGTTGTCTAATTGCAGTAAACGCTCAACACTGCTACTCGCCGTCTTACTGCTCATTATGATTAAATGATTGAGCGGTTTCTTAACCGGCTGCTGCTGCTGCGTTGTTCCACCTCCCGCACTGCTACGTCGGCTACGTCTTCTCCGTATCAAAGTTACTTTGTTCCGTCTATCCTCATACAGCTGGACCAGCAAGTCTTCCAACAGCAGCAGAGAAGGTGAGGCCGTAATCGAGGTGGACGATTTACGCCTAACCGTACCCGTTACCGAATCGTCCTCAAACGAACTTTCCGTCTGCGGCTGACCACTGTAACTGCTGGCCGAGTTCAGGCTACGCACGGAGGGTGTATCCGAGGGTCGGGGCTTTGCCGTCTCAGCCCTGCTCAGTTCACGCTCGGGATCAACAATCGAATGTTTCAAAATAATGTCCTGCAAGAGACGTCTCTGTTTGGCGGGGGTGTAGGGATTCACCAGCTTAAAATCGGCATAGATGCGGGCCAAAAATCTTACCCGCGAAGCAATGTAACCGATCTTTCGTAGGATCCTAACATCGGAGTTGGTGTGACGATGATGACGACGGGCAGTGGTCGCTGCGGCGGAGCGTTGACGTCTCGCGCAAGGGCCTCCAACACCCGTTGTCGTCAGACCAACGGCAGCCGCTGTGGTCGATGACGATGAGGTCGATGTGGTGCTGGTGGTGGAGGGTCGTGAACGAACTTCGTATTCTGAGTCACTGCTCGATTCGGAGGGACAACTAAAGCCGTCCTCTTCGTCGTCTTCTACGGTGGCCGAGCTATGGACATGTGTGGGTGGGACGTTGCTCGTGGCTGTTGTTGTAGCAGTTGTTGTTGTTGTGGTGGTGCCAGTTGTACTTGTCGCGTTCGTGTTACTTGGGTGACCCTGAGTTGTGAGGCTAGCGCTAGCAGTCGTTGTCGCTCTATCCGAGGAGACTGGATCAGCGACGTTCGTTGTTGGCGGTGGCTGAGGGCTGCTACGGCAGCTGCTGTCCTTGTACATTTATGTGTGTTAGTCCAACGTTAGCCAGTGACCACTTGCTGTCCGCGGATGTGTGGGCGTTTTTTTGGCGTGGCAAAACCAGCTGCAACGAGGCGTAGGCGTTTATTTGCCAGCATTAGAGCATGCTAAGCGGCGGACACACACAAGCACACATACATAGAGGGGGGAATCAATGTTGGTGTAATCTGGAAAGCAAAGTAGAGAAGAGAAATTATAAATTAAATTTCAATAACTTTTTGAAAAAAATATTCGAAAAACATTTTGAAAAAAATACAAGGGCCAAAGCAGCCAAAGATTTAAAAAAATATTTTTTTAAAGACCTACAAAAAATATTTAAAAAAAATATTTAAAGAGCCGAAATAATAGGGAATTAGGAGTTTTTACGAACAATTAGGAATTAAAAATAATTAATTTTTTTAAAAACTTGTTTCAAAAAAAAATATATAATTATATAATTTAAAGAAAAATCCACTTTGCCAAGAATTTTTAAAATATTTTTATTTTAAATGGCCCCAGACTTAAGCAATCACTATTTAAAAAAATATATATATAATAATTTTAAAATATTTTTTTTAAATTCTTGGCAAAGTGGATTTTTTTAAGTTATTTTTTCAAAATATTTTTTTTTAAATTTAATTTTCAAATACTTTTTTTTATATATTTCGAAGGATTATTGCCATGAGGATTTTAATAAAAATATTTTAAGGACGTTTAGAAGTGCGAATTATTTTTATGAAAATATGTTTCAAAAGAGTTGGCAATGAAAAATTAGAATTTATTTATTTTTTTATACAATATTTTTAAAAATTAGTTCCAGAATGATTTTTTTTAAATTGTTTTTTTTTTATTTTTCAAAATTATTTTAAAAAAAAAAAATAAATTTTGGCAATGTGGATTTTTTTTTTTTTTTTTTTTTTTTTTTGAAGTCATTTGTTTCAAATTTTTTTTTTAAATTCCAATTTTTTTAAAAAAAAAATCCTAATTATTCCTTTGTCAAATCTTTTGAAAATATTTTTTTTTAAATTAAGGGTGAGATGAAAAAACTGAACCAATTTCAGACTGCTGTCATTTCTAAGCCACTCGTCCGACAGCTTTTAAAATTATTCCAGTGATAGCTCAGTATATTGTTTACAAGCGTCCGAAAGCATTTTGGTGAGAATTTTCCAGAAAAAAAGTTATTCGTGATCGAATTCAAGCGGGATAGTGTGGTTTCTTTATATTTGGCTGGAAAACCACAAGTGGCTATCGTTGGAGCACTCACGGAAATGGACGGAAGAAAACAGCAACATCAGCAGAAATGCTTCGAAAAGTAGAGAAGCGACTTGATCGAAGCCCGCATCGAAGTGGCCATAAAATGGCTCGTGAGCTGAACATATCGCAATTTTCCATTCGGCAAATATTGAAAAATGAGCTAGGGGTCGAGCCATTGAAATTCCAAAAAGTGCAAGAACTTACATCGCAACAGAAACGGAAAGAAAATAGATTCAAAAGAGCTAAAGAGTTGCTTCGCTTGGCCGAAAGTGGTGAATTTGGCGAATTTGGTTTTCTCCGATGAGAAAACATTCGTTGTCCATGCCAAAGAGGTCAGCTGAAAATATGCACTTTCGGTTGGCCACCAGAACTCAAGCCATACCAAGGCCATGGTGATGGTGTGGGCCGCCATAACTGCCGATGATCGCTCTCCGCTTGTATTAATCGACCCCGACATCAGAATAAATGCCGAATATTATCGCGAAAATATTCTGGGGGGTGTTTTAAAGCCTTGGACAGGCAAATATTTTGGCCGCAGACCTCGGACATTCCAACAGGACTCAGCACGAGTAACCACCCAAGAATGGTTACAAAATGAGGTTCCTCTCTTCATTTTAAGCGCACAATGGCCACCCAAAATCTCCGGATCCGTGGGACTAGTGTGTCTGGAGCATTTTGGAAAGCAAGGTTGTCGTCATAACTGCGGATGGTCGTTCTCCGCTGATATTAATCGACCCTAGCATCAGAATAAATGCCGAATATAATGGCGAAAATATTCTGGAGGGTGCAGACCTTGGACATTCCAACAGGACTCAGCACGCTCCACCCAAGAATTGTTACAAAATGAGCTTCCTCGCTTCATTTCCAGCGCACAATGGCCACCAAAATCTCCGGATACCAATCCGTTGGACTAATGTGTCTGGAGTATTTTGGAAAGCAAGGTTGGTACTAAAAAAAAAAAGTGTCGATGACCTCAAGCAAGCGCTTCGCCGGGAATGGGCCAAAATACCGCAGAGCGACATTCTGGCCGAGTGTGACGGTTTCATTGGCCATTTGAAGGCCATAATTCGTGCCAAAGGTGACCACTCCGAACAAATCTAAACTTATTCTAAAATTTGATGCTATTTCCGACATTTTTTGATTTCATTCAATAAAATTTAAAAAAAAATGTAAAAAATTATAGCTTTTGACTTTGTTGCAGTTTTTTTATTTCACCCTGTATTTATTATTATTATTATTATTATTATTATTATTATTATTATTATTATTATTATTATTATTATTATTATTATTATTATTATTATTATTATTATTATTATTATTATTATTATTATTATTATTATTATTATTATTATTATTATTATTATTAATATTATTATTATTATTATTATTATTAATATTATTATTATTATTATTATTATTATTATTATTATTATTATTATTATTATTATTATTATCATTATTATTATTATTTTTATTATTTTTTTTTTTTTTGGGTGGGAGAAATTTTTAACATTAGTCCAAAATTTATTTATTTTTTTTAAATCCTAATTTATCCTTTAAAACATATTTTGAAACATTTTATTTTGTTAAAAGAACCTCCCAAACATCTTCGAAATATTACTTATATTAAAATCCCCATAGCCACAACCCTTGAAAAGTAGTTTTAATAAAAATCCCTCTCCCCTGATTGCCATGCAAAAAATATTCTCTTTTTTCCTATCTCCCCCCATCTCCAGAGTTTCCCAATTGAATTATAATATCGATGAACATGTGCGCGGCAAGTGACAAGTCGCGTGACTTTTTCCTTTTAATTTATAAATATGCATGATGCCATGAGGCTCTGACAGAAAAAAATATATATATGCTGCAGATTTTTTCACTCAATTAATTATTTGGGTTCTTTTTTTTCCTTTTTTTGTTTTTCATTCTTCTCAGGAAATGGCCACAATATCTGTTGCGTATTCAAATGAGTGCGTAATTAGTTGCAACCACATCAAGTGATGATTGAATAGAAATTTGCATATTGGCCAAAGGCACAATTCCAATACCAATTCCCATGCCGACGATGATGAGGTGAATGTGGATGTGGATATGAATGTGGGGTCGGTTGTCCATGATTCGCTGGTGCAGTGCTAATTGATTTATTAGCCACAAAACATTGCAGCAAATATTGATTGGGGGGGCCCCAAAAATGCATTTGCATAGGTAACACTGAGCCACACAACCAATTTTTGTGGCTCTCGCCATATGAGTTGCTGTTGCTGTTGTTGTTTTTGTTTATTTTCCACCAATTTTCCTGGGCTTTTTAATTATATGCCCCACGTCGCCTTGCAGCTTGCAGTAAACCAAAAGAAAAAACACAAATATTATTATTGGCCAGAATCGGGAGAAACAAAAACAACAACTGTAGCAGAAAATCATCAAATCAAAAGGCCAACAATTTCCCAAAAAAAAAAACAACAACAACAACAACAATAAAAAATTATTATGCATGAAAGCTTGACTGGCCCATAATCGCCAACCCTAATTATGGTAATTTGCTGGAAAATATAATCCAAATGAAAATCAATTTCATTCGATTTAGCAAACAAATGTGGAAAGTGAATTTGATCGGAAGTGGAAGAGAGAGGGGGTTAGCTGAAAAAAAAGGATAAAAATAATAACTTATAATATGAGCCATTTCATCATTCCTTGACCGGAATGATTCAATAAAAAATGCCAAAAAAAAACACGCTTTCAAATTGCCCTTGGAAAAAATCTAAACAAGTTCGCATTTTTTATAAACAATAACTTTTCATAATTAAAAAAAAAATTAATTTTTTTCGAAGGATATTTTTCAAGTTTAAGGTCCTTTGAAAAACATCCAACCAAAATTTAGAAAACATTTTTTAACGACTATTAGGCTATTACACTGTGCGGCAATATTCGGGTTATGATCTGGAGGTGGGAAATTTCTAATTTCTAATTAATTTGGCCGTAATTTGGTTTCTAAGAGGGTAGAAAACATCGTCGCAGAAAAATTCTTATGTAGATCAATGTTTCGCCCATATAAAGGTACCTCTTGATTTTACCTATTTCGGAGGTCTTGTTGTGCCATTTTTTTGCAACAAACTTGAAATTTTTTTTCAAAAATTTTTTATGAAAATCCTCTGCCATATCTTAACAACAGCGGTATGTATATCAAATTTAAGGTCTATATCTTCACTCAATACCAAATTTAGTACCATATCTCAGATCCAGATACCAAAAAGAACCCTCATTATCAAATTTCAGGCTTTTAACTCAATCAGGGCTGTCATAGAAACCAATTTTGTCACTATTGGTTTTAAAAACGACAAGAAAACATGCTTTGGTGTCATAAAAATCAATGTTATGGGTTTTATTTTCGAATTAGGATTTTATCGGTTTTGGTTGGAAATAAACCAAGTTGCTTAGAGCTGTCACTTTTCATTTGCTTTGGATTTTTTTAAAAAAATTTAAAGGATATTCAAAGGACTAAAAATGTGGATTTTTTAAACAATTTCTAAAGGACTAGAAACTTGGATTTTTTAAAGAATTTTTAAAGGACATTTAAAGGACAATAAACGTGGATTTATAGACGTGGACTATAGACGTGGATTTTTTGAAGAATATTTAAAGGACTATAGACGTGGATTTTTTAAAGGATATTTAAAGGACCATAAACGTGGATTTTTTAAAGGATATTTAAAGGACCATAAACGTGGATTTTTTAAAGGATATTTAAAGGACTATAGACGTGGATTTTTTAAAGAATTTTTAAAGGACCATAAACGTGGATTTTTTAAAGGATATTTAAAGGACTATAGACGTGGATTTTTTAAAGAATTTTTAAAGGACCATAAACGTGGATTTTTTAAAGGATATTTAAAGGACCATAAACGTGGATTTTTTAAAGGATATTTAAAGGACC